GCGTGACGTGCGCATGCTACGTGCCCTGAACCTAAAGGCCACCCTCATTACAGACGGTCGGACGCCAGTGAACCTGTTGGACGCTACCTCAGGTTTGATTGGTCAGGCCAGGAGTGCTGTTCACGTCCCACAGCCCGAGGGCCAGGTTGCTCTACCAGAACCCACCACTGAAGAGGCGGACGATGACGCGTAGCCTATTTATCATTACGTTTTCTTTCCTTTGTTTCCTTTCTTTTATTTTCCGGTAGGATATTTTGTACGATGCCGTTTTTGGTACTATCTTAAATGCTTTATTTGGAAAATAATTAATCCATGCGCTTGCCGTTGTGTTTTATTCATTTATTAACTTTCGCCTAAGGGGTATTTTTCAGAAGGTTCCAGACAGGGTTAAGGCCCTGAGCTCACTTCTGAGAGACTTGCGACCCCTTCGCGTTTTTCACACCAACATGTGAAGTCGTCCTCATACCGTTAAGTTTATTTTTTGTACCGCGTAAAAGATCCCGTGTTTCATTGCCGATTGATTCTAACTTTTTCCGGTATTTTCGCTTTCGTGAAAGGAGCGCTGTTACTAATTTAGTCAAACGTCCTTAGTACTTATTATGGCGTAAAGCGCTCGAACGTTTGTTTGGGGTGGGTAAAGATTACTCTTATGGCCTTCTACGCGGGAGAACAAGAACTGGCATCGATGCAAGTGGCTGTGCGGCAAATTCTGGGGTATTCAAGTTTCCACTGGACGGATCCCCGCTATGGTGCATTCCCCAGCCTATGCGCACCGGTTCACGTTATCGTTTAGCAAACTTGCTTGCGTTTTCGTCCAATCCTCACCAGGTCAGTGCGGTCATATCGGACACTTTAGAGCTGAGTAAAGCTGTGATATGAGCACCCTACTGGTCCGATTTCGTCAATCTGCCACGTGATTTCGTTTGCCCGTGTTATTCCTTGTAAATTGCCCTTGTGGTAAACTTACCCATTTAGGAGACGCAGTAGTATCTCAGCCTTTCACTGGACTGTTACCGCTTGGTTTTCTATTAGATGTAATCCTAAAGTTGAAGTTTCTTTAAAGAAAGGTTGGCGTTCCTTTATAGCTGCGACGACGTTCTGAGTGTCGAGACTACATGCAAATGTAGCTGCGCAGAAGAATAAGCCATACGTTTGAGCTTATCTGGATCAATTTCATTTGCAGCCTGAAGTCTAGGACCATATGGCCTACTTTCACAAAACTGCCCTCGAATCCATAGTGGGGTCAGAAACAATTTATCCTGTTAATATTGTTGTTTTCCTAGGTGCTGTCTAAAGGGCTGGTCTGGAGACTGCTTTACCCTTTTTACTGTTGACGACTGTTCACTTTCTCCAATTAACACATATATATCTTTCCTCCTCGGCTACTGCCAAAATGTTTGTCCGGGTTCCACGGTGTCTATACCGTACTCCCTTTGCTTAGGTAAGACCCCTAAGCTTGCTGAAGATCGGTTATACGTGAATTCTACGTTCGAGTATTACGTTTTTATGGCGGAGCTCTAGAAGGAGTCTCGAGACAGAGCGGGATGAGTGAGTCCTTTCAGCGATCTGTGAACACTAATCAACGAGTGTCAATATCTCCAGATCTAAACCGGCAAGACAAGCCCGTGGCTCAATTATTACAGCGTTGGACTCCTTGTCAAAAAATCGCGGGTTCGATCCTCGGGTGGAGCACCCCTTCTGGTTGGGTATGACTGGCTGGTGACGGCTAATACGCCAGAAACGGCCATTCCATTCTCCCTTGTCTTTGCCCGAAATGCTCTCTGCGTAGGCTACTAGTTGCTGTACGGCGGCTGGCGTGGTTCGAGAATGAGTCCCAAGCCGGAGCCGAACGAATGAAATCCGTTATCGATCGGTGAACGTTAATCAACGAGTGTCTTTGTATTTTTCTGCCCGCTAAGTGCCTCTGCCGAAAATTCCCTCGGGGGCCTAATCGAAACAAGGCTTAGTCTCTAACCATCTAGGAACTTAGATTTACACTTCATGCGTTTGGCTGACGCTTTTTACCCAGCTTTACGTGGCTTTCCTGATGTATTTGCTGGTTTACTCTCTATTTACGTCCGTCTTTTCCTGACTTTGCGCATTCTAGTCCTTCCCGTCCTCTTATTGGATGACGGGTCCGTTTTTTGATTGGTTGTTAGGACGTTGGGCGACCGTGCAGAAACAGGCAGCGCAGCCACTGCGTGCATTAAGTCCACAGCATGCATTCCCCGTCACGTTAGTTCCACGTGTGCTGATTGGCCCTGTGTTTGCTTGGCATTTGTGGCTCAGTGGGAGTTTATTTTACCATATTTTCCGGACAATAAGGCGCCCCTAAAAACCCTTAATTTTTTTCAACAGCGACAGTGCGCCTAATAACCCGGAGCGCCTTAAAGATCGGTTAAATTTTGTTATTTAAGTCCAAATGATTTTGTGTGGT